AATCATGCAGATGCCACCGAAATAAATACAAAGGGACTAGCTATTAGTTCAAAACAGCAGGTCAGGGTTGTTAGAATCCAGACCAGACTGCAGCTCAGGCCACACTCACCTGCAGCATCTTTCTTACAGCCCTTATAAAGGAAATGATGGGACTGGAGAGGTGACTCAGGGGTTAAGAGCACTGGCTGCTCTTGAAGAGGACCTGGGTTTGATTCCCAGCACCCACATGGCGGCTAACAACTGTCTGTAACTCGAGTTCCAGGGTATCCAACACCCTCTTCTGACCTCCAAAGGCATTGTACAACACAGGTACACTTACACACATGCATGCAATATACTCATACACATAAAATAAAAAATAAATAAATAAATAAAGGAAATGACATGTCTGCTACCCAGAGCTTGTTTGTGAATCTCTAAGCTATAGCAGACTACTCAAGTGCCTGGATTCCAGAAAATAGCAGGTGACATTCTCACTTCCCCAAGGAACTTTATAGACCTTGGGCTGCCATATTCCTGGTCATCAGAGGGCTTCCAGTGGCTGCATATTCCTGTACCTGTATGATGGGTACAACTTATAAATGTGCTCTTCCTCCCACATCCTCAGAATCACACATCCCTCCCCCAGAACTTCCTCCTCTCCCCTTCCTATCCAAGAATCAAGAACAGCCTGGCTATAGGCCTGTACAGTGCAGCAGGAAACTTCCCTTTCCTTAGACACCTGTAAGAAGGGGACGCCCCGCCCCCCGCCCAGCCCATGCACACTCTGCTGGTGGGCTTGAACTCTCCTCAGAGCTCCTGCTAGGCTACTGTCTGCCTACCCATGGTTAATAACTCTTCTAATAAATCTCTTACTCAAAAGGACAGTCTGCCTCAGTGTCTCCCTAAACCCCAAACCCAAAACCTTTCAAAGATTAAGGAGAAAAAAAGGGGCATGGCACACAAATTGATATCTCAATAACCTGTCATGCTGTTACTCACTTCCCTACCATGAAACTACATCAAAGAAAACAGTAAAAAGCATGTTATAATTTCAGTCTTAGCTGTATTACCAAGGCCATTAGAGGTTCTGTGTCATGTGATACTAAAAAAAGATCACTTAGTAGTTAACACCTAACCACCAAGGCGAGACTCTTCTTTAGCAAAAGGATAGAAGGGGCAAAATGGAAACTTTAGGAAAGAAGAAAGGATCTTCCACCCAATAGCAGCCTTAATCCAAAAGAAGCTGACACTAGATGCCAGGCATTGTTCTAAGTGCTTTATAAACGTTATCGTGCTGCTTAGTTTAAGCTTGCTGAGTGGAACCTGAAAACGAATGACTCCATTTTGATTTTTAGCCCCATTTCTTGGGGCCTGGTGCCAGAGCTCAGTCCAAAACAATGATTTCCTATAATTCTTAACAAGTGAAGTATGCCTCATACCAGTCACTCTTAATAGCCTTAGGCAGTAGATAGTGTGGGTCTTGCACTCTTATCTAAGACTTTTGAGCAAGCTTTGTTTCCGAACTCTGAACTTTGGGGACTTTAGAAAAGTAATGTGTACATAATTCATAGAACATACTAAGGGAGCTCTCACACAAATAATGTTCCTGTAACTGGAGTTTTCAGGTAAAAGCCTGTATTTGTTACTTTTCTGTTGCTGTGATAAAATACCATTGACTTACAGTCAAAGAGGGATAAGAGTCCATTATGGCAGAGGGAGGCAGCCAGAGCAGACAGCTGAATGCTAACACCTTCAAGAAGGCATAGGAAGCGGAGTGAGAAACTAGAAATGAGACCTGGCTATGAACTCTCAAACCCCACCCCAGTGATGTGCTTCCTTCAGCAAGGCTGCACCTCCTAAGCCTCCCCAAACAGCACCACCAACTGACTAAGTGTTCAAGTATTTGGAGCCACAAAGCCCCAGCTGAGGCAGTAAGAGTGCTTCATGTTCCAAACCAGTGGGCTACATAGTATATTCCAAGCTAGCCTAGGTTACAAAGTGAGACACTGTTCAAAAAAAAAAGTATACATAATTAAACAGTTCTGATGTTCTAGTTACTATTTGTGATAACAGCACTGACCATAAACCAACTTGGGGTTTCATCACTGAGGCAAGTCAGGGCAAGAGCTCAGGTCAGGAACCTGGAGCATGGACCATGGAAGTATGCTGCTTGCTGGCTTGCTCCTATGGTCAGTGCTCAGCCTGCTTCCTTATATAACACAGGATCACCAGCCCAGGGGTGGCACTGCTCACAGTGAACTGGACCCTCCCACATCACTCAGCAATCAAGAAAATGTCCCACAGACAAATCCTTAATTTGAGGCTTCCTCCACCCAGGTGTTGACAATGGAAGCTATCTAGCACAGGTGTGTTCTGTTAGTCAAGGTGCGTTCTGGTTGACCATCCTCAGGTTCAGCAAGGTGGTCCAAAGAACTCCTTATTGCTTGCAGGGACAAGCTGAGTCTTAGGAGATGATTACTTCTGTTTCAGGGTGTGGAGATGTGGCTATCTCAGATAATTGCCCTCTTTTGGGAGTAGTCTCAGTCAGTCCCTTATCACAAAGATGCTTACCAATGTGTTGTTCCTAGAATCCAAGGAGACTCAACTCAGAAGAAAGACTGAGGCAAATGCAAATCCAAAGAGGGACAGAATGCCTTTACTTAGACCAATGACCAAGGTCTTCCTTCAATGAAAAAAAAAATCATCCTGTCAAAGGATTTAAATAAAGACTGTAAAGAGTACCAAACAGATTAAGAAAAACAAAATAAAACAAAACAAAACTTGGTTCTCAAAATGTTTTGAATTTGGGACTTATACCAAATTTATAGAGAGAATGAGAAACAGAAAGATGAACTTGTTGGGGACTGCATAATTAATCCCTCTCTCTCTCTCTCTCTCTCTCTCTCTCTCTCTCTCTCTCTGTGTGTGTGTGTGTGTGTGTGTGTGTGTGAGAGAGAGAGAGAGAGAGAGAGAGAAGGGGGGCTCATTGTAACACAGACTAGCCTTGAACTAACCTATGCTTAGGATGACCTTGAACTTCTGATTCTCCTGCCTCTAACCACCCAAATGCTGGGATTATTGCAAGATCCAGGATTACAGGGTTAGAGTAAGTACTACCATGCTCAGTTTATGTGGTGCTGGAGATGGAAACTAGAGATTGGTGAATGCTAGGCAAGTGTGGTGGTTTGAATGAGAAATGTTCCCTATAGACTCCAAGAATTTGAATACTTGGTCCCAGCTGGTGGTGCTATTTACAGAGGTTTAGCAGGTACAACCTTGCTAAAGGAAGCACATCCCTGGGGGCAGGCTTTGACAGTTCATAGTCTTGACCCACTTCCAGTTTTGCACCCTGCTTCCTGTGCCAGCTTGAAGAAGTGCTTAGCTTTCTGCTCTGGCTGCTGCCTACCATTCCTACCCAGCCATGATGGACTCTTACCCTCTGGAATGGTAAACCCAATGAACTCTTCTATAAGTTGCCTTGGTGTTTTATCACAGCAACATAAAAGTAAATGATACAGCAAGCACTCTACTGAGGTACATCTCCAGCCAGAGAGTTTCTAGATATCTAAATAGATGTTTCCAAGAAAGTGGGAGAGAAACACACCCCACCCCAACAGGGACAGCTGCTTCTGTCCAGGGGCACTTCCAGATTTGACCCCATGTAATTCCACACTTGGCTACTTATTTGTATCTGTTAAATAGAATATTTTGTAATGAACTTGTAAACACAAGTGCTTCCCTGAGTTCTGTGAACTGAATAGCAAAGTAATAAAACCCAATGAGTGGGTCCTGGAAACCCCAGTTCATAGCACTATGGTGGGTCAAATGCTCAGGTAATTTAGGGCTTTCAGTTGGCCTTGAAAGGGGGTAGCAGTTCTATGGGACTGAGTCCTAGACTGTGGGTCCACCCTCATATCCAGGTAGACTATGTCAGAACTGAGTAGAACAGGAAGACACTTAGACATTGTCCCCAGTGAATATGATTGATGGTGGGGTTTGAAATGACCAGAGGTAACAGGAGTCTTCTGTGTTGATTGTAGAGAGTATGGGGAAACTAATGGGTTACCCTGGTATATTTTCAGATCCTCTCTTCCCTGCTTTAGGGGTTAACATCTGAGACCAGGTCATGGAACAGGCAGCAGGTGATGTCAATATACTGTGTGGCAACATAAGGGTGTGGCTACCTGTTCCTTCCAACCTGTGAGCAGGTGAATAGGCAATCATATGCTCCTTATCTCCCCCTCTCATCAGTAAATCAAAGTTCTTCCCTGATTATGACATCCCTTTGACCCTGAACACAAAGCTGCTTTCACAGTCTCTCCCCAATGCCCAGGAACCCGGCCTCTATTTCTATTTACTTGTTTTTCACTGGGGGGTTCTGGTTGTTAGGGCAACACCTGATCTAATGCTGTCAGTGACCTCCTCACTGGTCCCTCTCTGGTGCTAGGAATGCAAAACCAGGAGGTGGTTTTATTGTTTTCTAGCTTTGAGTTATATGGTTTAACGCAGAGGCATCCTCCCAGCTTCTCAATAGTAAAGCAGTACTTCACACAGCAGCAGACTGCTTCCCTGGCGTGATCCAAATCAATCCATTAATCTCACCTGCTGAGGCATCTGATGCAGCCAGGTTATTTACCCATCTCGGGGAACAAGAGCCTAAGAGCGTTTTGTAGGCTGACTCTTTTGGTTCTTAATTATGACACACACGCTCTCTCACAGCGGCCTTGCTTTAAAGATGTCTGAGATTCTTCTCAGAGGCTCAGCCACCCAACATGATTCTGGTCCTCTATAAAAACCTTAGAACTACACAAGAGAGTCCCGAGTTGGATCATTTTGTCTGATTAATAGTTTAATTAACGCCATGTGTCTGACATCTCGACATTGCTCCACATTTCGGACAGCGAGGCTAGGGAAGCGATGAAGAGGGGCGGGTCGTTGGGGGCGTGGTCACCGGGAGGGCGTGGCTGGGCGGGGCCCTGGGGAGGGCGGGGCCCAGGAAACTCCCCCGAGAGGGTGGGGCGCCCGCGCTCTGGTCAGCTGAGCAGCGCGCGGTGGGTCGCGAGGCTGCGCGTCACTGTCCAGCTGCCCGAGCCGGCCGCCCCCACCCCGTCACCCCCGGCCAGTCCCCACGTGGGCGTAGGCGTCCGGCTCCGAAACTCTGATCCTGGGCACGATGCGGAGAAGGCAGTGACCCCAGAGGAGCCGGATTGCGGCGGCGGGTGAGTAGGGCCGGGGGCGGCGGGCGCTAGCCGAGCGCGGTGACTTTCCCAAGCCACCCTGGCAGCCGCTTCCGCCGCCGCCTACACCGGAGGCTGCGGGGAGGGTTGGGGGGGTGACGAGGGGTGGGACGGCCCTCCTGTAGGTTGCCTGCCCTGAGAAGGTTTCCAGGCCGGGTGAATCCTGACCTGGTGTGAAAGGGCAACCGTGAGCCATGGGGGTGGTGGCCACCCCAAAGGACCCCCTTTCCCCAGGATGATAAAACATTGAATTGGCTGACCGCAGGTGACTTCCTGTGCAGGCTACCGAGGTGGTTTGAAGGTGACGTCCTCCCACTGGTTGAGAGTGATTAAGCAGTCAGTTCATTACAAGGAGGAAGTGGTTGAAGGTGTACACCTTTGGAAGACATGAGGTGACCCAGGAACGGTAAAGAATAGTCAAGGTAGCAGGCTTACAGGGCAACTCAAAAGAGCCTGCGTAAACTGTCTGGGAGAGTGTGCCATAAAACATGCATGTTTTATATATCCACACACCCAATATTTGTATACAGGTGTATGTATAGAAATATATGGATATGTGTGTGTGTGTGTGTGTGTGTGTGTGTGTGAGAGAGAGAGAGAGAGAGAGAGAGAGAGATTATTTGATGAAGCGGAGAACTTTAAAGGAATTGCTTTTACCATAGGCAGTATTTAAGCTGAAGACAGCAAATAGGGCTCAGAGAAAATGAAACCTAACCTCTGTCCTCCCCTCCACTCTCAGGATTCTTGTATGGAATATGTGCCAAAGGTGTTGACGGTTGATTTGGAAAACCTTAGTAAGAGCCTTTTGAAAATAAGAAAGGCAGTACTGGGCCACTGGAACCTCCCCAGAGCTAGCTCCAAAGCTGCATAGTTACTCAAAGCAGCCACCTTGCTCTTTTGACCTCTGGAGAGATGGAGGGAATCCCATTGCCCCAAAGTAATAGGGTAGGGAGGACCAGAGCCGTGGCCACTGCCAGGGACTGCCTTGGATTGCACTGGACAAGTGCAGTTTCATTGTGGTTTACAGAGAAGATGCCAAGGATTGATTTTAGTATGTGCGTGTTTGATCTGTTTTTACACCAAGCCAATTTGAGGAGTACTTTATGCGTTTTGTGTACACTGTTAAAAGGTAACTGCAGTTTTTACAACTGGCCTGTAAATTACATATTATATTGTATGAGACAGAGAGAGAAGGAATTGGGTTTTACCTTCCTCCTGAATCCTCTCATTTAAGTAGTAGCATACAGTTCTATCATGAGATATACTGACGGCTAGTCTCCGAACCTGCTTTCTCAACTTTATATTATAGAGACTTGGCATTTCTGAAATAGTAAAATAAAAATCCAAGGCAAAAAGAAGTTAAAATCTCTAAGTTTTAGCCAGGTGTGGGGCGAGCGCCTTTAATTCCAGCACTGGGGAGGCAAAGACAGTCAGATCTCCGTGAGTTCAAGGCCAGCCTGGTCTACATAGTGAGTTCCAGGCCAGCTGGGGCTATAGGGAAACACTGTCTCAAAAAAAGACAGAAAAAAAAACTCTGAGTTTTTTCAATTATATTAATATTCTCATTCATTCACTCGCTCGCTAAAATTTCTTTCCTGGGAGCAATGTAAACAATGTCTACCCCTCTTCCCAATATCCCAATGACAAATGACAAACCAAGATATGATTCCACCAAAGTTAACCCTGAGGAACCAGTGAGTTTCTTGGATTTACTACAGAGTAATGGGGTGAGCCTCCCCTCATCAAGACCACACTAGAGAATCTTCACCCAGCATGGGTGGTGATTTCCCCCAGCTGTATAAATGGAGTCCCGTCTACTTAGTCTTTTCTAGCTAGCCTATATTACTCTAGCCTATGTGTTGTGTGACTGAATACTCAGATGAAGGTCCCAGAATTCTCCCTGACCCTCCTTCTATGTGGGGGCTCAGAGGACAGTTTTCTCTCTGTGTCTGTCTCTGACTCTGTCTCTGTCTCTATGTCTCTCTCTCTCTCTCTCTCTCTACACACACACACACACACACACACACACACACACATGTGCTTGCCACAGCATGCATGTGGAGGCCAGAGGACAACCTGTGGGGCACCATTTTCTCTTTCTACCATGTGGGTCCCAGGAATGGAACTCAGTTCATCAGGCTTGGTGAGCCTGCTGAGCCATCTCTATTAAGGTTTTCATTGCTTCTATCTTGACATGAATATAATGATGGAATTTTAGAATATGTGTTATTAAATAATATCCAGATGCCCTTGAAGTGATAGAAAAAAAGACAGTTCTGATTCTTAAAATAAAATTTAAAAGTTGACTTCAAGAGTCTGGAACTAAATGCCATAGAATTGTAGGAAACTAATAATATTACCATGTAGTGTTTGTTGCTTACACAGCAGAAAGCATTTTACAGGTGTTAAGACTTTAAAAGACCTCATTAGGCTATATTTTCCTTTCATTTCAACAAACACTTACCAAGAACCTGCTATGTGCCAGTCTCCAGTAAGAAAAAAGATGGAGAGAAAGTAGCTGGTGTAAGAGTATGGCAGTATTTACCAGAAGTGTTAAGGAAACACATGCAAATGGCTCTTGGGTACGCAAAAGAGCGCATGCTACACAAGCAGTCACATTTGAGCTAGACATTAAAACTACCCTATGGAAGTGTGCCAGGGAAAATGAGAGCCAGACATTTCAGGCAGAGGACAGAGCAGAAGAAAGGACACAGAGACTAAGAACACAGGGAACTGTGAGCTCATTAATGTGGTACAAGTGTCTTGGTGGCAGGAATGACTTGCTGGTGCTTGGGTATATAAGCCCAGACCAGGAAAGGCTCTATTTGTCTTACACTATTTTGGATGAGAATGTTTATACTGAAGGGAATGGTCTTGTGTTAAAAGAAGGCATGAGTATAGCTCAGTGGTAGAGCACTTCCCTTTCATATGCAAAGCCCTAGAGTCCAGGCTTCAGCACTGCTAATAATAAATAAACAACTCTCATAAATCTTGAAAGCAATGGAATTGAAATGGAAAGAGATGAATGATATTAAAAATCATTCAACAAGGACCTGGTAAGTTTTTTCTTGTGTTTCACAAAATGTTTTTTAGTGCTGGGGACACAGCAGTAGACAGAAGAGGCAAAAGTGCAAGGCTGTCAGTTCCAGGCAAAATAAAGACCCAGGCTTAAGCCTGTAGGGATGGAAAGGACATGGTGAGTTTTGGAAGCATTTTGGAATTGGAAGTAACTGGATTTCATGATTCCATTAGATTTGGGGAAAGAGGAATGGGAAGAAGCAAGTCTTACTTCTGGGTTCCCACCTTCACAACTAAGTTGCCTGTTTCTATTTTCTGTGTGTTAACAAGCTATGAGATCAAATAGCTTCCTAGCAAGCAATGTGAGACTTTTTGCCTTTTTAAAAATATTTCATTTATTATTTTTATTTTATGTGTATGAGTGTATTGCCTGAATGTGTGTCATGCAGTGCCTGTGGAGGTCAGAGGAAGGTGCCTGAGCCCGTGGAACTGGAGTTACAGATGGTTGTTAGCTGCCATGAGGGTCCCAGGAATTGAATTTGGGTCCTCTGCAGAAGCAGCCAGTGCTCTTACTTTTTTTTTTTTTTTTTTTTTTTTTTAGTTGTATTTATTATTTTTATTTTATGTGTGTGAGTGTACTGCCTGCATGTAGATTGGTGCACCCTTGTCATACAATGCTCATGGAGGTTAGAAGAGGGTGTCAGATCCCCTAGAACTGGAGTTACAGACAGTTAGCTGCCATGTGGGTGCTAGGAACCGAACCTGAGTCCTCTGCAAGAGCAGCCAGTGCTCTTAACCGCTGTACTACCTCTCCAGCCCAAAACGTTTTACTCTTTTTCTTTTTCTTTTTGAGACAGGGTCTCCCTGTAGCCCCAGCTGTCCTGGAACTCACTATGTAGACCAGGCTGGCCTTAAACTCACAGAGGTCTGCTTGCCTCTGCTTCCCAAGTGTTGGGATTAAAGGTGTACACCACGACACTCGGCAACTTTTTACTCTTAATAAAATATGTGTATAACCTGAGTTCTTCCTCCACAGTGATGATTCATTTAGTCACATGGTAGTAGAACCTACTCAGACCTAAAAAATAAATTGCATTTATTTTTTATTCTGTGTATGCACTTGCCACAGCATGCATGTGGAGCTCAGAGGACAACTTGCAAGAGTCACTTTTATCTTTCTACCATGTGAGTCCCAGGCATCAAACTGAGGTTGTCAGACTTGACAGCAGTTGCCTTTATCTGCTGAGCTGTCTTGGTGGGCCCCTTCAGCACCTTTTGTGAACCCGGATTCATATTCACCATAGCCAACTATCATCTCTGATCAAGAGACAAATTCTCACTGCTTAAAACTAATTTATCCATGCAAGGACTGAACCTGCTAATTTCATTAGCAGATTTGAAGACACTACAGTAAAGGCTTAGCTTAATTTGTATCTGCTGTCCATTGGTTGGAAGTCAGCATAAGACAGATTCTGTGCGGCACATGGCCCTCTGGCTGTCAGAGCCATCCTATAATGAAACAGACAGTGCCTGCTGGGGGATCATGGCTCATGTATTCTATCCAAGTCTGCTCAGTGCAGCCATGCACCGTGGAAACCACTCAGACATTCTTGTGTTGAATGCCAGAGTAGATTTTGTCTAAGGCCAATTCAGGAATGAGATTTATGCCCATGCCCATGCCTGTAAGGTCAGGCCATTGCTATAATTACTTGACCTTGGGATAAAGAGTAAGAATGTATATGGTTAGTGATTCAGGCAACAGAACTAGGGAATAAAAGCTGGGCTATATCACTTTTGACTTTCTACCTACCAGCTTGTTCCCAGTCTTCCTTGTTAGTGAAATCTTGACAAATTCCATACTCAGTTAATGCATCCTTCTTTCATTAAATTATATTTTGTCTCATGCTAATTTTTCTTTGTCTCATATTATAGGCAATGCTAGCTGGGAAATCACTGTATATCTGTCCCATCCTAGGCTCAAACTGATAACAGTCCTCCTATCTTGGCCTCTTAAGTGCTGTGTAACAGGCATGCACCATCATGCCCATCTTACTAAATATTATCTTTGCTTAGAAATGACACTTTGGGGCCGGGCGTGGTGGTGCACGCCTTTAATCCCAGCACTTGGGAGGCAGACGCAGGTGGATCTCTGCAAGATCGAGGCCAGCCTGGTCTACATAGTGAGTTCCAGGACAGCTGGGTCTACAGGGAGACCCTGCTTCCAAAAGGCCAAACAAACAAAAAAACCAAATGACACTTTGTACCTACATCAGTTAGATTTTTGTGAAAAATTCTGTAGATAGGACCTTGGAATGAACAGTTTGTTGAAGTTTTTGGACTCTCTGAAGATATGTGCAAAGATATGTATATATCTCCATGTTTACCCAGTTGATTTGGGGCCTGGTGAGTTGGATTAGCAGGTAAAAGGGACTTGCTGCTAAGCCTGTCAACCTCAGTTCGATCTCTGGAACTTACATGGTGGAAGGAGAAAACAGATATCCAAAAATTGGCATCTGACCTCCATATGCATGCCATGGTATATGCTCATGTATGCAGGTGCACACACACACACACACACACACACTGTAAATATATGTGTAAAAATATTTTTTTAACTTAGAGATTTAAGCATTCTGTAACTACATTCTACCAATAGCTATTTCACATGGGCACCATACAGTGGTAATTCATATTGATATATTTAAAATATTCTAAAATCATGAAGTGCCCTTTGTCTCATCTACTGCTTTAAATTGCTTTTAGTAAAATGATGGTAGTATTTGTATGCTTATGTCTGCCGCATATGCCAGCTTGTTATTCAGTAGGACATTTGAATTACGGATTTTTTTTTCCCTTTCTTTTTGAGACAGGAACTTCCTGTAGCTCCAGCTGGCCTGGAACTCGCTTTGTAAACCAGGCTGGCCTTGAACTCACAAAAATCTGCGTGCCTCTGCCTCCTAAGTGCTGGGATTAAAGGGGTGTGCCACCACACCTGACTCAGGATAACTTTTTCTAATGCCATTGGCCAACAATGTAACTAGGCAAGGGCAAGTATGTTTTGAGAGGGCAGCACATGATGGAGTCAGCCTACTGGACATGTATTAAGGGTGGAGGTGAGTCTGTGATATTTTAGAAATTTTAACAACTTCTTACTTTGGGGGAAGTGGCTGAGTCAAGAAGAACCACAAGGAACATCACACCCTGGATGAGTCAGTAAATATTTCTAGAGCTCAGGTAACTTCAGAGGCCACACACTTGCATATTGATACAAGTGACTTTTCTGCTGTCTCCCTTAGCACAACTTTGTTCTTTTTTTTCCCCAATGTTCTTGCAGAATCAGGGCCACGTTATCCAAAAATGAATTTTATGGAAAGTCAGAAACTTTCGATTTACCCAAAAAGGGGGTACACAACAGGAGGAAACTCATGTCTGGTACTGTAAACCTAGCCAAATACACATAGCTGGAGAGGTCTTAGATCTTAGAGAAATCCCAAGGCTGTCATATCCCTAGACTAATGTAATTTCTTACTATGTGCAAAATATGGATCCTCAAATTTACAGACAAGTATCCCAGTCACCACTTATCAAAGTAGCTTCTTTTTCAACAGACGGAGATTATTGCAGAGTTACACCACTGGTTAGACACAGAGATTCTCTGAATTGGCACATTTAGGATGCAACCTCTACACCCAAGACTCACAGAACATAGACCAAGGAATGAAGAGAACACTAATGCATCTTTCAATTCTCATCAATGAAGCTCCTTCATGCAACAGAGGGCCAGGAACACAAAAGGCCACAAATGGTCAAAATGCAGAGAATAAGAGTCTGCACAGTTTGGGTCCTTGGACAGGACTCCTGTATTGAGGTCCACCCACCCCAGGGCTCAGGGACCATTGTGGAAAAGGGGGCGGAAAGATTGTGAGAGCCAGGGAGGAGGTGCGTGACCATATGGAAATAGTCCTACAGGTGCCAGGGACCCTTTTCATACAAACCTACAGTGATGGTGTCAGCATGCACAGACCCATGCAAAGTTAGGCAGACAAAAACCCAGCATAGGACTGTGGAACTGAGCAGCAGGCCCTAACCGTAGTTGAAGAATTATTGGCAGCTGATTACTGCTGGGTGAGGAAGAGCAGATCTTGAAGAGAGAGACTAGATAGGTTGGCTAAACCCCAGTTGGATGAATTTGCACTGAGAGACATCTCAGGACACTAACTTTACATAATCGTCCTTAATACAAATAACAGAATATATGAACTCCAGTGTCGGGGGGACTATGGGAGGGTGCCAAAGGGAAGGGGGTATAAAGATGATATTATGTATGAAATATACAAAAAGTCAATAAATTATAAAAAGAAAACAATTTTAAAAAGATAACTAGGGCCGGGCGTGGTGGCTCAGGCCTTTAATCCCAGCACTCGGGAGGCAGAGGCAGGCGGATCTCTGTAAGTTCAAGGCCAGCCTGGTCTACATAGTGAGTTCCAGGACAGCTGGGGCTACAGGGAGACCCTGTCTCAAAAAAACCAAAAAAAAAAAAAAAAGATAACTAAAACAGATAATAAATGTGTAATATATATTTAAAAGGGGGTGGGTAGAGAAGGCATTCTAATTTTAGTCATCTAGTGCTAAATGATCAAATGTTTCGTTTCTGCATACTAAGTGCCTCCTTCAATCAATTCAGTTACATAAAACCAGTTACATAAATCCTCCATACGAGAGGCTCACTAATCAAAATGCTTTGTCAGTGTGTTCCCTCCGTGAAGGGATCATCCTTATCACTTCATGGGATGCATTTCTTTTAGGCTGATGCTTTAAGTCACACAGCCACTCATGCCACAGAGCCTGCTGGTCCCATCAGTGGCAGGATTCTGATTTGCCTACAAGTTCTCCCAACCAAAAGCAGTGTACCAGGTACTTGATTCTAGAGAACCTGCAGAGCCCAAGATCCTGCCTCCTGTGGTCATGGGAAGCAGCCCACACTTTATGCATCTGGCCTTATTTTCATATGTGGATACTAAGCATACTCACTGATGTTATGATACAGTTATAGGACAGAGAGGGCAATTCTGCCCCTGTTAGAAGATTGATTCCATACATAGAAGGCTACAACACAATACAGGTGCCTAGATTGTAAGGGGTTGGTCCTATGAGAACACACTTTTCCCTCAGTAATAAGATTGTAGATGGAGGCTGTAGCTCAGTGATAGAGCATTTGCCTAGCATGTGTGAAGCCCTAGATTCAATTTCTATTGAGAGAGACAGAGACAAAGAGAAAGAGACTGCTCACTAGCAAGTGCCCAAGTGCCTTCTTCATCCCAGGCCTTTTGTGGCACCAGGTGTCTTTCTGCTCTATCAGTTTTAGAGCAAGCATCATTGCTTAACACCTATTTGTTGCATAGATGAAATTAAAATTGTCTTCGGATTATATTATTTATTATATACTTATTATTTATATATGATATATTGATAAATTATTTTATATATTGTCATCAACAGTATTTTAAGGTTCTAAAAAATCGTGTGTGTGTATGCCACATGTGTGCAGTGCCTGCAGAGATCAAAAGCCGGCATTGTATTCCTGGAGGTAGAGTTTCAGACAGTGTGAGCAGCCAAACATGGGCGCTAAGAGAGCAGGAAGCACTCTCCACTGCTGAGTCATCTCTCCAATCCCAAGAAATACTATTATCTTAGTCATCTCTCTAGACTTCACCGTTTTTGCCTTTGCAGAATACGACTGTGCACTCGTTTGTTGCCTTTACTTTGCGTTGTTTTATAATCCATCCACATCAGTTTTTGATGGAGAAACATTTTCATGAAGCGTGAGGTGAAAATTGTTACCTACAGCATGTAGCCATTTATTGGAATGTCTATGTTTGCCTGAGTGGTAGGTAATAAAAAAATGGAATTGGCATTAACTCTTATTTATATTTTCTTATTGACTCATCTACAAAATAAAGCAGCATGTGTAGAAATGTTTTTCTAATATGTAGTAGCTGAACAAGCTGGCTTAGTCTTTTGTGTGTGCTTTGAAAAATATAATATTAAAGCCTAAATATTCACTTGTACCCTTACTGTATTTAAAGATGGAGTTTTTACATCAGCCTTAATACCTAGGTGGACCACTTACTGATCTTGGACAAGCTATGACACCTCAGTGAGCTATTTCCTCACGTGAAAAATCAAGAATATTGATATGTCTACTATGGTGTTTCAGCACATACTAAGCCTAAGAGTTGAAAAAATAAATGTTAACTCTCCCTTTCCTTTTCACAAAAATACAAGAAGTAAAATACAGATATTTTAATCTTTGTTGAGATCTAATTCCCAAACTATACAATTCACTCAAAATAAAGAAACTTAAAGATTTCAGGAGCAAATTTTATATAATGAACTTTCACCCAAGGCTACAAATACTATTCCTATCTTTAGGGCAGCCCTTCCTGCTCCATGTCCCAGTTTCTCACTGTGCCTCTTTCTACTCACATGTGCAAACATGCACACACTTGTGCAAGTTTCTGTGAAGCTGGGCTATGTACTTTGATGTTTAAAAATAAACTGTTCACAGTGAAATTCAAGGGAAAGCTGGCAACCTTTGGGAAGAACCATTAGTCGTTACTAATGGATTTGTGGGACTTTCTGAGACCCTTGGCAGAACATGGATGGCTATATTTTTAGCTTGTGGTTTTTTCATAGGACCTGCTGCCATGGCCCACCAACCTCTGAGCTGCCTAACTGAGAAGAGGGATAGCCCCAGTGAGAGCCCAGGAAATGGACCCCCCAATCTGGCTCACCCCAGCTTGGACACATTTACCCCAGAGGAACTGCTGCAACAGATGAAGGAACTCCTGGTTGAGAACCACCAACTGAAAGGTGAGTAGGGATATCTGTCCTTTTTCACCACTTAAGAAATGTAATCTCTTCTGAATAAGGCCTACAAGTGAGCTTGCTTCTTAACCTGATTCCCTGGGAACAAAACAGCACAGAATAACTTTGGACAAGGATACAATGCTTTCTGTTTTTTTCTGGACGTAGATAAGACTAAAAAGTATTTTTATTTAGGGACTGAGGGTGTAGATCACTGGTAGATAGCTTGCCTAGCATGTATAAGACTCAGGAATCGATTCCCAGCACAGGGAAAAAGTATACCATCTCAAGAAATAGTATAATGGGCATTTAGTCCATTTAAGAGGAAATAGAGAGAAGGACCTCTGTGATTACAGAGTTTATTGTAAATATTACTTGTTAAGAGAAAGCATTCTGAGTTTAGCATGATGGTGCAGGGCTATATCCCAGCTCTAGAGGCGGAGGAAAGATTTCAAGTTCAGTGCTACCCTGGGCAAGTTCAAGGCTGTCCTGGGCTACACAGTGAAACCTTCTTTCAAAAAAGTGAGAAAGGGAGAGGGAGGAGGGAGCGAAAAAGAGACAAAGAGCATTAGTATTAGTTCTGATATATCAAGCCATGGCTAATCAAATGTAATCAAAGAATAATAAGATTTTGCTCAGTCTTCAGGTCATTAATAGGAATTTATGTTCCCAAATCAGTTTTATTTGGGGAATTTTGCTGTTGTTTTGAGACAGTGTCTCCTATAGACCAGGATGGCATCCAGCTCACCATGAAGCTGTGACTGGCAGTGAACTCCTGACCCTCCTACCTCTTGCCTCCCAAGTGCTGGGATTACAGGCATGAGCCTCTGTGCCCTGGCCTTTCTTGTGACCTTTAAGGACTTTCAATGATATTAGGCGTTCTAGCTTTATCTGTGAGCAAACTCTACTCACCTCACTGTAGTCTTTTGTGCTGGTATACTCAGCCCAGGCCACATACAGCATATTTAGATGCCGAGCCCCAGAGCATTGATATGGGCAAAGTCCCTTTTCCATGAAATTCCATTCATTCTCCTAGCCTGTGACTCCTCCCTCTCTCTAAACCCCAAACAGAAGCCATGAAGCTAAATAATCAAACTATGAAGGGGCGATTTGAGGAGCTTTCTGCCTGGACAGAGAAGCAGAAGGAGGAACGCCAGTTATTTGAGACACAGAGCAAAGAGGCTAAGGAGCGCCTGATGGCCTTGAGTGATGAAAATGAGAAATTGAAAGAAGAGCTTGTAAGACTAAAAGAGAAAACAGAAAGACCACTGGAGGTGAGTAGGTGGATCAACTGTGATTTTTGTTTTCTTAATGTATGCAATAGAATCTTAGGATCTGGACACTTAGATCAAAACTTTCCATTATTTAGGCTGAACTGGTGTTAGAAGAAATATTTTTGCTGGAGACACTGGTTGTAATTTTAAGGCTCATGTATAATCTCTGTTGGGGAAAGAAATGTATAAGGTCAGGGCTGGGGAGATGACTTAGTTGGTAAAGTGCCATGCAGGCATAAGGATCTGAGTTCAAATGAAAACCACCCACAGAAAAGCCAAGTACAGTGGCTTATAACCCCGGCACTGGGGAAAAGGAGACTGCCAGATCCCTGAAGCTCATTGGCCAGCCAGCCTAGCTTAGTGGATGAGCTCCAGGTTCAGGGAGAGGTTCAGTATCTCAAGAGGTCCTGGAGAGTAATGGAGAAAGACACACCTCTGGCCTACACACACACACACACACACACACACACACACACACACACCCTTTCACATACACATGCACATACCTACATGAACGTGTACATATACCATACACAGGTATACACTAAAAATAAAGTCAGAAAAGAAAAAAGAAAATTGTGAGGCTGTTTGTGGTCAAAAGAACATTATAAACCAGGTGACATGGCTCACACCATAATCCTAGCACTTTGGAGACTGAGGCAGGTAGATTGAGAGCTGGAAGCCAGCCTATGCCACATAGTGAGTTATAGCAAAAAACCCTTTGTCTCGAAAAAAAAAAAAAAATCAGTGTTTTGTATTCATTAAAAGTGGCAGGTGAGCCAGGCATGGTGGTTCATGCCTTTAATCCCAGCACTTGGGAGGCAGAAGGAGGTAGATCTCTGTGAGTTCAAGGCCAGCCTGGTCTCCATAGCGAATCCAGGCCAGCTGTGTCAAAAAGACAAAAAAAAAAAAAAAAAACCTGGTAGGTGAACCTCTACCTAGAACCAATCCAATTGTTAGTTCTTATTTTATATATCTTTGATATAAAACTACGTTTTTAAAAACTTTACCTCAGAACCTGGGCATGGTAGCTTACACCTTTAGTCCCAGGACTTGGGAGGCAGAAGCAGGAGGATCTTTGTGAGATCAAGGCCAGCCTGGTCTACATAGTGAGTTCCAGGCCATCTGGGGCTACAGGGAGACCCTGTCTCACACACACACACACACACACACACACACACACACACACACACACTGCACCTCAGAATGTGTACTTCTGGGGTTGGGGAGATGGCTTAATAGTTAAAGTGTTTGCTACACAAGTGTGAAGACTAGAATTCAAATCCCAGAACCCACATAAATGCCAAGTAGACATGATTCCAGACTTAGAAGCTGGAAATGGATCCCCAGAGCAAGCTGGCTAGCAAGACTAGCCATATCCATGAGCTCTGGATTTGATTGAGAGACCCTGCCTTAATGAATAAGGTGCAGGAGTGATCAGGGATGATTTCCAACATCAACCTCAGGCCTTCACATATACTCCCACAGGTACACACATATGCATGCATACCCACATGTGTGCACCCATACACATGCAAAAATGTACAACACATGCACATGTGAAAATGGGAAAAGAAAAACAAGAAGCAGTGTTTACTTTCTGACCTTGTCCTTTATCTCAGCCTTAAATAGTGATTATTCCCTTTACAAGTTGCTTTTGAAAAATGACATGGCAGTGCTATGTTGTGATCTGGGATCCTGGCTATAGGGTTGAGGTGGTGAAAGAAGAAAATGGTCACATTTTGGTTGACTCAAAGATCCTGTGGAATGTGTTCATTCCCAAGAGTGGATGTCTAAGGTGCTGCTAAAGAGCAAACCAGAGGACGTTTGACCCCTGCGGGCCCTCCAGGGTTCCTCGGGTATTGTTTAAGTGACATCCCTGACTATTTCCTTCCAGACTTTGTACTTAACCTTTTAGAGAATGGAGCACTGGTTTTGTTCAGGCAAGGTTTGTTCACATATTAATGATTCTTTTTCTTGAGCCTATACCTTGAACTTTGTTGATCTCTATTTTTCCATGGATTGATAAAAATGGAAACAATGAAATAAAATGGACAGAAAATAATTGAAAAGGAGAATGATGTAGAATAATCTAAAGCATGAAGTTACCTAGGAAAATACTGTTTCTATCAGTGGTCTTTTTTTTCCCATATATGTATGGCGGGAGGTTGCATACATGTACATGTGGAGGCCAGAGGGCAACCTCAAGTGTCATCCTCAGGAAGGCTATCCACCTCTTTTTATTTTGTTTTGTTTTGTCTTGTCTTGTTTGTAAATTTTTAATTGCATTTTTGTGAATTTCATACAGAACATCTTAATCTTTGTACCCCCTTCCCCACTGGTCCCTCTCATAGCCCCCCCCCCCACCGCAATTCAAACATTCTGTCAATTGGGTTAAGGGCTATCATCTTCCCAGCCGTCTCTCAGTGCAAGTTCATCCACTGAGGTCTAGTCAGCCTATCTGGAGTCCCTCCCTTTAAGAAGATCAGCTCTTCTTCACCCAGCAGTAATCAGCTGCCAATAATTCTTTGGCTAAGATTGGGCCTGCTGTCCGTTTCCACAGTCTTGTGCTGGATTTTTGTCTGCTTGAGTTTGCATGGGTCTTGTGCATGCTGACACCATTGATATAGGTTCTTGTAAGAGTGATCCTAGGAGCCTCTAGGACTCTATTTCCACATGGTCATGCACCTCCTCCCTGACTCTTACAATCTTTGTGTGCCCTTTTCTGCAGTGGTTCCTGAGCCCTGGGTGAGTATCTACCTCTTTTTAAACAATCTTTCAGTTGCCTGAAGCTCACCAATTAGGCTACACTGGCTAGCCAGTGAGCCCCATGCATTCTTCTGTCTTTGCTTCAGTATTGACAGGATTATAAGCATGCAACACTGCACTCAGATTTATTTATTTATTTATTTATTTATTTATTTATTTATTTATTTATTTTTATTTATTTATTTATTTATTTTATTTACAGGATCATGCTATTGAGGCCTGGTTGGCCTGGAACTTGCTATGTAGCCCAGACTAGCCTTGAACTCTTGATTATCTTGCCTCTGCCTCCTAACTACTGGGAGTAAAGGTATGTACCAAAAAAAAAAAAAAAAAAAAAAAGCGTGTACCATCATGCCAGGGCACATACCACAAACACATCTAGAAGTGTGCTTTGCTAATGTCCCAGGAATAATCCAGTTAAATTGAGAATCAAGATTAACCATCACACTTAGACAGTAGGAGGCACAATATATGAAAATACAAAGAATTGTATTCCGTGAAGGCCAATGGTGAGAGGTCAAAAGGGATAATAGATGGTGATGGTGGAACTGAGATAGAGATCAGGAAGATAGCCCATGGTAGTTTTAGTCCAGGAAAGGAATGGAAAGATTTTCAGTACTAAAATAAAAGGAAATTTAATCTAATCTTACAAAATGGATTCATGATTTCCCATAGAGAACTGAGAGATCCTTGTAATTTTGGAAATGAAAATTAGCCTGATAATGTGAGATTCTAATGTTATGGCCTGCTATTCATAGTCCTCTGACACTTGTTTAAAGCTCTGTTTCCTACCCTTGTATCAAATATGTGTTGTAGCATCTTACTTGTTCCAGGTCAGCTGGGGCTACAGGGAGACCCTGTCTCAAAAAGACATTGCAACAAGGTGAACTCAGCACACGTGACAGTATTTATTGCTGATTTTATATCAGCTGAAATTTAACTTTTTTATACCTTTCAATTTAACATTTTCTTATTTCGCCCAGATTTGGTTTTGGCAATTTTACAACAACATAGAGTAGTCTGCCCAGCAGCTAGCGTGCTAGGAAAACTGGAGGCCTTTTAAGTTAAATCCTTAGTGCTTTGGCTTCTAACTATATGTGATGAGTGCGGGGGCTGTGAGGGCAAGTGGGCACTTGTGGGAGGGAAAAAAAATAGAAGGTTTTATTAAAACAGCTTTTGGCCCTTGTTTTCTGGAATTTTGAACTATAGCATCTGAGTCTTCCACTACCAAAGACTGGATATTTTCATGATAATCATTCTAGTGTGCTGTGGAAGCCTATCTTTCTTGACTTGAAGTTATTTTAAATTTCTGTTATTTGACTACAAGATAATGTAAACAGCTTTCTTTCTTTTCCCCATGTAGCTCTGTGGATTGAACATAAGGCCTCACACATCTGACACAAGCTACTCCTCAGCCCCCCAAATTTCCATTTTATCTGTGTGTGTGTGTGTGTGTGTGTGTGTGTGTGTGTGTCTTTTTGAGACGGGGTCTCTTTGTAACCCCAACTGGTCTGGAACTCGCTATGTAGACCAGACTGGCCTCAGTCTCACAAAGATAGGCCTGCCTCTGCCTCCCAAGTGCTGGGATTAAAGGTGTGTGCCACCATAACTAGTTCCAAACTTCCATTTTAAATATGTCAAAATAAGTTTTCAAATAAGAGGTAAAATCTTCTACTTGAAGCATGGGAGACAAAGATGTTAGAAAATTACCTCACCTAAAACTGAGCATGGGGCTGGGGAGATAGCATAGCCAATAAAGTGTTGAGGACCTGAGTTCAGTCCCAGAATACACATAAAAAAAGCCAGGCATGGTGATGTGTAATCCCAGTCCTGGGGAGGTAGAGACAAGCAGATTCCTGGAGGTAACTGCCAGCCAGACTAATCTATTTGGCAAGCTCTAGGCCAATGAGAGACCCTGTCTCAAAAACATAATGACAAAAAAAGTTGGATGGCACCTGAGACGTGATGCCCGAGGTTGTCTTCTGGTCACCACATACGCACACCTGTGCATACACACACACACACACACACACACACACACACACATATGAGAACACACACATACATATACATGCACATACACAAAATAAAACAATAAAATAATGGTGGTACATGCCTGTAATACTAGCACTTGAGAAGTAGAGGTAAGAAGAGCCAAAGTTCAAGGCCATTCTCAGCTGTGAGTTCTAGACCAGACTGGGCTACATTATATGATGCTTAAAAAATAAGAATGAAAAGAGGAAAAAAGAAAACAACAAAGGAAAACAACATTGTGATGTGGACAGCTATGGAGTTTGATGACAGTCCCTTGCTTTGATTTGTCTTCTCCAGGACCCTACATTTGGCGCCAGGCTTCCGAAGGCAGACCCAGAGCAAGAAGTGGGGCAGCTGAAGACCCAGGTGGTGCGTCTTCGGGCTGAGAAGGCAGACCTGCTGGGCATCATCTCTGAACTGCAACTTAAGCTCACCTCCAGCAGCTCCTCAGAGGACTCCTTCGTTGAAATCAGGATGACTGTAAGTTTGGGTTGTTTTCAAATGAACCAACTTCAAGACCTTGACACACATGGAACAAACAGCAAAGGCAAATACTAGGTGATTACAGAGTAGCAGATAAATTGGCTTCTGTTTTTAAGAGTTTAATGCCTAACAAGGGTTGTCCTAGCTGAAATGAAAAAAATCAGAGCAGTTTTATAACAAAATATCTGATCTTTCTTCCATCCAACTTGTCCTCAGAAATTGGACACTTTTTGTGACTGATCAGAAAACTAAAACAAAACAGGCAAAAAATAAGAAAACCCACAAGCATGAACTTTCGTTTTTTTTCAAACCAAGTCTCAAAGCTGGCTTGAGCAGTTCACTTATGTGAGCAGAATTATGGTCAAATGTAGTAAATGAGTGACTTTGTAATCATCTTTAAAAAATTATTGAGTATCTTTATTTTGTGTGTTGTTGTATGTGTGTGAGAGAACGAGAATGTCATTGCACATGTGTAGCAGTCAGGGGACAGCTTGCATTAGTTGGTTCTCTCCTTCTACCATATGGGTCCCAGAGATTGAACTCAAGTCCTCAGGTTTGGTGGCAAGTGCCTTAATCTGCTGAACCATCTCACCAGTCCTTAAACACTTTTATAAAAAAATATTTTTTATTTATTTTTTTTATTTTATGTGTATGAATGTTATGCCTGCATGTTGGTAAGTGCACCCATGTCATGCAGTGCCCACAAAGGACGGAAGAGGCTGTTGGACCCCCTGGAACTGGAGTCATGGACAGTTGTTAGCTGCCATGTGGGTGCTGGGATTCGAACCGAGTCTTCTGCTAGAAGTGTTCTTAACTGCTGAGCCCTCTCTCCAGCCCGTTAAACACCTTTTAATAATATTTAATAGACTCTTTTCAAAGTTTAGTGAGGAACTGTGATCAATAAACATGGTAAGAGGGACCAGTGAGATCGCTCAGCAGGTTAAGGTACTTGCCCCTTAAGCTTAGCAACCTGAGTTTGATCCTGGAACCTGGAAGGAGAGAACCAACTCCATAGAGTTGTCTTCTGATCATCATATGTGCTCCATGGCTCACATGCCCACATACATATATCGTGTGCATGTCCCCTACAAACAAAGTTTTAAATGATAAGAGATACTAGGAGGGTAGCTTTATTGGTAAGAGTGCTTGCTCAGCATACTTGAAGCCCTGGGTGTTAGAAAATGTTAGATCCAGATTGACCAGGGTGAAGTGAAAATGAAAGATGAGAGACCAGCCCTCGGAGTAGATGGCTCCTTACTAAGAACAATGAAGATGATGAGGGTTTCTCTATGGGATTTGAACCTGCGCCCTCAGCCACAGTATATGGGCTGCTTATAAGGGTTGGAGGATCGGGAAAGGGGGAGGGGAAGGGTTATTTTCAAAGTTCAATGTAAGTACCGGTGACATGATTTGGAAGTTTGAGACTTAGGGACTGTTATTTGTTTTCCTAGTCTCTGGGTTTGTGGTTTTATGCAGTCCTGTGTTGGATATTAGCTCAGATCTGAGGTTTACCTGAGATTTACTCAACCCAGTATGGGGCGCTTTGGAAGTGAGTTCAGAGCCCCCCCTTTTATTTTTGGTCTTTTTGAGACAGGGTCTCCCTGTAGCCCCAGCTGTCACTATGTAGGCCAGGCTGGCCTTGAACTCACAGAGATCCTCCTGCCTCTGCCTCCCGAGTGCTGGGATTAAAGGAGTGTGCCACCATATCCGGCTTCAGGGCCCTTTTAAATCCAGGCATTTATCCATCACTAGATTCATTCCTCAGCACCACATAAATGAGTGTGATGGTACAAGCCTGTAATCCCAGCACTCAGGAGGTAGAGGCAAGAGACTCAGAAGTTCAAAGTCATCACCAACTACATACTGAATTCAAGACCAGCCTGAGACACATGAGACCTTGTCAGAGATTGGGGAGAAGGGGGTGAAAGAAGGAAGAGCAGAGTTGCTCTGGAAGTAGGTTGAAAATTAGCTATTCTTTTCCTCCCTTCTAGGAGCCACTTCTCAGGACCTTCTGGGAACAGTTTGAAGCCAGTACTGTCAAATTTAAATGTTGTTCAACCTAAATGAATTGTCAAGTGAGGAGTTATTCACTGATTCCAGAACTCTTGTGAGGTGTCCTTTCAGTATCTGGGTGTGTGCAGTACTGTGACAGAGCAAAACAAGTAGATAAGCCTTGGAGAGACTGTCCTTTAGTGCTACTAAGAATGATGGAAGTGAAGGCAAAAACCACACCAGGATAAAGTCCTCTGTAATAGAGTTTGTCATGTGAACGTTGCCAAAATACACATCTAATATAGGAAAAGAGATCAGCTAAAAGAGAGAAATGTAGTTCATAGATAAAGTCAAGGAGTGGAGAACAACTTGCAAAAACAAAACAAAACCCTAAACTACTAGGTATATCTGAAATATTTAGTGTGAGACTTCCTTATTCACTTGCTGCTCTAAAGATTAGTAGAGTTGGAAAATGGCCCTTGTTACCATCCATGCCCTCTAAAAAATTTTAGTTGCATGAAGAATGACCAGAATCAAGATTGAAAAGCATACTTTGCCAAGAGTCATTTCTGAAAGCAACTGAAGATGTCCAAAACAGAAAGACATCTGTAAACAGCTGATAAAATTCAGGAAGCCCAAACATCTTATCAGAAATTTCCAAATTTGCCACCCAAATGAGTGATGGGTTATTGTGAGTGTAAATATGCTTCACTTTCCTCCTGTGAGCTGGAAAATTCTGTCCATGACTTAGGAAGAGTATATCCAAAATATTGTTGACACAAAAGCATAACTCTCACCTCAAAGGGGATAAGAGATAGTTTATTCTGGAGCCAAATATGAGTAACCATGGCCCGGGAACACAGATTCAGGTTACCCCAAATTCCATGTTCCAGTGTGGTAACAGTAATGTTATGTTTTTATGAAAACAGAACAAGGAAAAGTCATAAATCAAGAGACTTTTCAAATACATTGGTGGATACATTCAGCAGGCGGGTCATAGCAAAGTTGGGGGTTCCTACTACAGGTGTCTGATGCTATCTGATGACAGCTTTTTGATTGGTGAGACCTGGTGATCTGCTAAGTTAATGCATTTTATTGGTCACATGAATGTTAATTCAGAAACAGAGGTAGGGAGTGTTTGGCTATTTATGGGGTTAAAGGTGTCCCCAGATAATCTGTGAATAGGCTCTGGATCTGCAACATTGCAGACGCTTCACAATCTCCACAGTGATAATCAGTTGGTGAACCTTGCAGGAAGTTCAGTCCAAGGTGCAGGAGTTCTTTTGAGAACTTCCTTTCACATTCCCCCTGTTGGCCAAGCATCACATTTGTGCATTCAGAAGTCATATATTATTTATTCCCAGGCCATCTTAGGAAGACTCATTCCTAGAATCTGATGTAGATGAGGCTCAGTTGTAGGCAAGATAGCAGTCTTCAGGAGAGAGGAATAGCTAGCTGGTAGAGCCAATAAGAAACAAACCCCTGGATCATATCAAAACTATTAGCCAGCATGATCTGGATCTTACTTTTCTTTTGTCGTTTGTATCTGACATAACATTTGTATATGACATACAACAGGATGACTATACTTAACCAAGAACAGTATTGCCTGAGAGTCAATGAAACAGGCACCATTAAAATAAACATTAAAATAAAAATGAGATTGACTATGTCTCCCCCTGTACATAAAGTTATCTGTTCTTTATGAACTATTTTGTTTATATTTAGAATATCAAATAAATCTATTGTTTTCTAATGTTTGGTTTTTCTTTGGATAAGTTAGACCTTATAGCTATAACCTCATGGGGTGACTAGTAGTTCTTATCTGTGTATAATGACTTCATCTGTTTTATTATATTGACACCATACCAGATTTAGTTTGAAAAAAATAAATGAAACATAGAAGAAATTACAAAACAATACAGTAGTCTTCAAACTTCTAAGAAGAATTTTTCATTTATATAACAAGTATTAATAGCATTAATAGAAACAAGAGATCAAACCTGTTAGGAAATCGGAATTTTATAGGTCTTAAAGGCTTAAACACTAATTTTTTTTTAATGATATAGAAATGGAAATTGTCCATTTCCTTATTAGTAAAATATAGCTATTTCTTAATTGTTTTTATCCAGGCTAATTGTACTATATAGGACATTCAATCAAAGAACATTAGTACTTAAACTATAAAATATCATGAATATGTTGATTTTAGAGTGATGTCTTATATAATTAGGATAAGAAGAAATAACCCAAATTTTGGGATATTTCTATCTAGAGAAAATAAGGTTGTAGTTACTTGTTAACACTGCAGTACATTATAGGGCCCTTTTAGTCTAATTGGTTGAATTTGGTTAAAAATATGCATATATACTGTGTATATAATATACAAATATATAATATGTATATACACAAATTTGAATTTGAAAGCTGATCTTTTTATACAAGTTATACTGAATAATTAGGAAAATACATACATATTTTTACACAGAGTAAAAACACTTAAATCTTTTAAACATGAAAACTGGTTGAATACAGTAGGGGTTCTGGGTAAGCATTTGTAACTTAATTTAAGCCAAAATTAGCATTGTTTTAGGACTATACTAAAGGCATTATTAGGTATTAGAAGCCGTTAAAAATAGCAGTCTTAAGGAACAAAACATTGAGAGAAATGTTCAGTTACTTGGGGTACTTGATTGTCAGTTAATTGAAGATGAGTCCCACCCAGTATCTCTGAAGTCTACATGAATGAGACCTTTAGATGAAGTTGGTACATGAGACTCTTGAAGTTCATCTCCTTGAATTTTGTAGTACAGGAGTAGGTTAGAAGCATCTGGAAACAGTCTTTACTCTCCAATTGGAGTGTTTTATGTGATGGTTCTTTTTTCAGTTGATGAAATCCTCTGAATTTCTTTATCCTTTAAGGAATATTCTGCAACTAATTTTGAATTTTTAGTAATCATATTTATTTTATTATTATTTTTTATTTTATGTGTATGAGTGTATTG